CTTTTACAGATCAGACTTGATTATCAGGAAGGAAGATGAATTATCGTGATGTATAGTAAATAAGATTTCGGTAATCCACGAGGGAGGAGTGAAGCACTGAGAGACGAGAGGCAAATTAATAATGTCATCGAACTGCAGTAGACAATCTGAACCAGAGCCAAACGCTGTCCCTCCTGTAGGACCTCTAATCCCTTCTCCTGGTCCATGCAGGACCTCGTGGCGCAACGGTAGCGCGTCTGACTCCAGATCAGAAGGTTGCGTGTTCAAATCACGTCGGGGTCACAGTTTTAAGCGACGGTCGAGTGATCAGAGGGTTTAAGTCAACACCTCCATGAGCAAAGGCCCGTAACCCTGGAGCACCTCAGGGTGGCTGATCCACGCTTCCTGGGATGTGAGATATATATATAGAAAATTAAAATAAATCCCATCATCAGGGGTCATGAGCTTTGAAATGATGTGCTTGAGGAGAAAATTCTGGCAGAATCACTGACTGCTTTTAAATCAGTTCTTAAAACCAGCTTTTATGTGATGTCGTCTTTTTTTTATGGCTTATCAAGTTTCAATTATTTTATGTGTATCTATGAATATTAACATATTTCTTTTGGTATTTTTGTGTCTCTTGTCTCCTTGTTTGAACGCCCACCTTGCTCCGTTTCACCTGTCTCATTTCCTGTAATGACTAATTTTAGTAAATTAAATGTAATTTACTAATTTTCATTCCTATCAACAGGACAAACAAAAAGTCAGAACAGAGGACGCTCTCAGCACCACAGAGGCTTAGCTCTGTTATTCAATTCTGTTTCATAGCAAGAAAGTTGGTCTTTTCTTCCGATCTTGGAGTTAAAGTGAGTGAAGTCTCTAACATTGCGATGCAGTGGTAAACAGCATGCGGGTTGGTATATTTATTACAGTGAATAAATGATGAATCGCCCTCATGCCTGAATCATACATCAATAACAGCCCAGTTTTATGGAAAACTAGAACCAGCATACTGTCAGGGTTTAGAGACGCCTTAAAATCTCACACATCATGTGACGGTTAGCTTATGTTTTATTAAGAGGAGCCACATTTCAACACTTTGTGTGGATGTTCATGTGATTTATGAAGGATGTCTTCTCCTGAGCTCACAGCCAAGCCCACAAGTTCACTAATCATATGTTTAATCAATACAAGGAGTCAACAGGGGGATTGGAAGGTGGCATCGAAGGGAAGGATGCAATAAATTCCATGTGTATGAGTGAGTCTGTATGAAGGCTGTGTGTGTGTGCGCGTGTGTGTGTGTGTGTGTGTGTGTGTGTGTGTGTGTGTGTGTGTGTGTGTTGAATTCTCTGCTGGTGAGGTAAGTCTGTCATGACAGTGGGATGTGTCAGCGCTGACCTCCTCCTCTCGTGGGACCATGTTGGAGCACGTCTGCCGTGGAGGTAACACCTCTCTGTCAGCGACAACACACTCAGTGAGACAGGCCGACTTTGTTTACTGTGTCCCCTCTGAGCTGCTGCTGCTGCTGCACACAGGACAAGTCTGGAAACGTGTGGACCAAGAATGTGGATTTTCCTAAGGTTCAGTAATCAGGGAAGAAAAATGGGACATTTGCACCGTGTTTACACAAGGTTGAATATCTTCTCAGGTTCTGACTGCTTTATCTTTTAAAAAGTAGTTATCACCTACGCTGTGGTATCCCTGCTGCATAACTCATATTAGACACCCATATTCCTGGACACCCATATGTTTCTAAGACTACTTCACTGTCCACCCTGTATCATTGTGCTCTTTTTGCATTATGATACATACATATTACTAAACTGTGAGGAAGGTTTCTCAGGTGTAATTAAAATTCAGT